GGGAGAGAATGCCAGGGTAGGAAGTGAGCCATGGCCCTGCGCCACCATCACTATCACAACAGAAAAGCCCATCTTTAGTCACACAAACCAAGGGAAGGAACAGGAACAACACCTTACTTCCTATGATTAGCGTAGTTCATTTCAAGCATCATGCCACACCATAATTAAAAACAGACGTTATGGCTTGACCTTGCCAACGTACAGCAGGCAAACCGTGGTTTACTGCTGCTTTTTCCTGCCTTTGTTTTCCATCTGCTCAGCAGCCATATTCCTAAATTCACTCACATCTGCCACCTCCAAGGCACAACAGCTTCTTTAAACAGAGCAACAGCCATAACTGGTTCATCAGTGGTATGCACATTCAGATGCAACAGTAAACAACCGTTTGTCGTGTCACAATTACTGTATTTTTCTCTCTATAACACACACATTTTTTTCTCCTAAAAGGTAAGGGGAAATGTCTGTGCGTGTTATTGAGCGAATGTGTGGTCCCTGGAGCCGACTGGCCCGAGTGCAGAGGCAAAAATCAGGCAAAAATCAGATCACGCGGAGGAGGGAAGGCTGCAGAGAGGAAGCTGCTGCTTTCCTGCATTCTGCCTCAGGGTCTTACTGCCCACCCTCTTCTGTTTTCGGTTGCTGTGTTTGCTCAAACGCAACAAAGAGCAGGGAAATCCCCTGCCCTCCTGGCAAGCAGAGGGGAAAGGAAAGGATTGAGTCCTTCCTTCTAATTCCTTCCTAGTCACACTGTGCACAGGCTCCAGCCCACCTGGCTCAGGTTCCGTCGGCTAGGAGCGCAGCCGACAGCCACCACCTCCTCCTCTCCGTGCTCTGGTGCTGCTGCTGCTGCGTCCAGCATTCTAGGGACTCACAGGCAGCCGGAAAACATGCAGGTGGGAGAGAGAGAGAGAGAGAGAGAGAGAGAGAGAGAGAGAGAGAGAGAGAGAGAGAGAGAGAGAGAGGGCTGGCTTGGGTGGGTGGGAGGAAACTTTTGCCTTCCTTTCCTCCCTCCCGTTAAATCCCTCTCCTGCATTGTTAGCCAGCTGCTTCTCCGCACACCCCTCTCGTGCTCCTTGTCCCTTCTGTGTTTTTCCTTCCCTCCCCACTTAAAACGTGGTTACAAAGCATGGATCCACACAGATCCTCAGGATCTTTGCATTGGGTCACCCCAAATTCACCATCAGATCACATTACATGTCCATGGCTACAGCCTGCACCAAAAAAATCACGCACCCACTGTTGCCTGGGGCTGCAATGGTGCACAAACGTGGTTACAAAGCACAGATCCACATGGATTCTCAGGATTTTTGCATTGGGCTACCCCAAACTCACCGTCAAATCACATGTCTGTGGCCACAGCATGAAGCACAAAAATGATACATCCATCCACTGTTTCATTCAGAATTCTTTTTTCTTGTTTTCCTCCTCTAAAAACTATGTGCGTGTTATGGTCAGGTGCGTGTTATACAGCAAAAAATACGGTACGTCTTAGGATGTTGAATTGGACAATCTCAGATGAACACTCCTATGGATCCCATAAAGGCAAGAACCGTATGCTGACTAGACAAAAACATATATCTTGGAACACTTGTTTGTCCTTGTTTTTCTATATATATGAAAGTCATATCAACTGGTTTATATTGTATTAAAAGGGGGAAACTAGTAAGGGGAATTGGCTTTTACTCACGTTGTGCTTTGTATGTAAAAATATCCAGTGCCAGATGATGGCTTGAATTGAGCTGCGCCCCTCTCCCTCCTTTTGCCCCCACAGCCAATCAGAGCTGTCAGGCCTCCAATTCTGAAATGGGAGAAACTTTTTTTTTTTTAAAGATATTTATTAAAGTTTCAGATAAAAAGAGACACATCAATAAAAAAAAAGAATTTAAAAGTAAAAAGAAAAATACACAATACAAAATACAGAAAAAAAGAAAAGAAAAAACAGTTAAAAACAATTCCATCTTTTCATCACTACTTTTGAATTTACTTATTTTCTGGACCTCCTCATACCTCCCTCTTTTGTATTCCAATTCAGGTTGTCTGTCCAGCAATTCCTTTCCCTCCTTTTTAATACTAATCCTTAATCTCAATATAATATAACATTAAATTTTTATCTATTAATAGCCAATTTTCCATTCTTTTAACCTTTTTAATCCTGATCCTTAATCTTGATCTGTCTATAACTTTAAAGTCTGTGCAGCTAGAAACCACTTAATTTCAGTCCATCATCACTCTAACTTTCTTTAATTTTGCAATGTTTCTGTAGGTAATCTTTAAATTTCTTCCAATCTTCTTCCACCGACTCTTCTCCCTGGTCACGGATTCTGCCAGTCATTTCCGCCAGTTCCATATAGTCCATCAGTTTCGAAATGGGAGAAACTTTTGAAGGGGAGGAAAAGCCACCTGCTGCCAGTGCCAAAAGGGTCACTGTCACTGTCAGATAATTACACTTCAGCAAGGCTTCCATTCAGCATGGGCTGCCTAATCTACCATATATACAGAATCTAAGCTGCTGCACACAAAAATTACACTGGGCAACAATTTTTTACTTTTTGAATGTTGTCTAGATTTCTACAACTGATTTAGGGTATTTTTGCACTGCTGAATCAGGAAATGGCATCCGTTTCTCTCCATCAGGTCAGGTTTACTGTAAACTGAATGGTGGGCATTGATAAAGGTAAGTACACGTAAATTGCATGTTGCTTCACCATTTTTCAAACTTCAGGGCTTGAACTTCCGTTTCTTGGAACTCCTGGAATGCTCAGTGGCAGGGAGGTCTCTCTTCAGAGTCCAACAGTAGTCAGCCATCATGACTGCGTCCCAGGGACCCTGATACCTGGTCTCCATCTCTTTCATGTCCTGATGGAATCTCTCCCCCTGTTCATCACTCATTGAACCCAGGTTCTCAGGAAACCGGTCCATATGTGAAAATAGGTAGTGCATCTTGACGCTCATGTTGCAGCCCAGGTTTCTGAAAGCAGTCAGCATGTTGTTGACAAGTTATGCGTAGTTTCTGGTCTTATTGTTGCCAAGAAAGTTCTTCACTACCAAAACAAATGCCTTCCACGCTTCCAGTTCCACTTCGTTCATTGACTTTCTGAACTCTGGATCTCTGATGAGCTGACGGATCTGAGGACCGTCAAAGATGCCAGCTTTCAACTTCTCCATGGTCAATCCTGGAAAAGCCTGGCACAAGTAAGTGAAGCAGTCACCATCCTTGTCCAGAGCCTTGGTGAACTGCTTGATTAAGCCAAGCTTGATGTGCAGCGGTGGGAAGAGTATTCTGTCTCTGTCCACCAGAGGGTCATTGATGACGTTCCTCTTTTTGCAAGGCACCAATTCCTCCCGCACAGGCCAGTCCTTCTTCATGTAATGCTGAGCACGGTCCCTACTATCCCACATGCACAGAAAACATGGGTACTTGGTGAAGCCAGACTGTTGTCCCAACAAAAAGTTCACCATCTTCAGGTCAACACAAATAAACCACTTATGCTGATCATAACCAATTTCTCCAGCACATACTTCACCGCTTCATAGTTCTCCTTCAGTGTAGTCGAGTGAGCCAGGGGTATAGAGGCAAACTGGTTGCCGTTGTGTAGCAGAACACATTGATCGCTTGCTGCTGTCAATGAACAGTCTCCAATCTTTGGGTTCATTCTGTGGCACTCCAAGCTTGAGCAGAAGCTGTGCAATATCTGCACAGTACACCAAGTCCTTCTCTTCCGAGAAAAAATGAAGGTACTCTTGATGCCTGTTGCAGAAGAAGCTGATGCGAGCACTGTCAGAGAGGAGTTTTTTTTACTTCAATCTGGATGCCAACAGTTCGGCAGAGTCCTTTGACAAGCTGAGGTCGCGAACTAGATCATTCAACTCCTTTTGGGAAAATGGATGTGGAGCATCATCTTCAAGAACCACTTCTTCTTCTTCATGTCCTTCAACACTGGAGGCATCTTCGTCACTAATGTCAGGCACTGGAATTTCATCACAATGAGCTACAGGACGACATGCTGATTGAAGATCAGGATGCTTGAGGCTGCTCTGGTTCTTTCTGTTGATCCCAGCCGCACCAATTTATGGAAGATTTCGAGGTTTTATGACTTCAAACTGATCCCTTTTCGACATAATCACCCAGAACTATCGGACCTGAATACTTCTTGTCATTAAAATAATCATTTTCAATCAAAACAATTATTCGACATGGCATTTTACCCCCACCAACTTCTTCTAAAATGCTCCACACAAGCGTACATGTGAACAAAAATGTAAAAAAAGACATGTGGCCATAGCTCAAAAACTTGACCTGATTGAGCAAAAACAATGTGATTTTTGGATTCAGCGCATCAGATTCGTCCTAAATCAACTGAAAAAACGCAGACAACAAAATTGTTGTTGACCAGTGTTATGAAATATTACCGTAAGTATTTTATTGTCCATTTGTCCTGTTCATTCAAGTTTGAAAACATTATTTCTATTTGTCCAGAATCTATATCCTGTGATCAAGAGGGGTTACAGCAGCTGCAGAAAAAGAGTTTGCTGAATATTCCACTTCTTCAGTTATGAACTTGGAAAAGAGTCATACGCAAACACATCTGAGAAGCAGAAATAATGTTTTAGCGCTCAAATGAAAAGTGCAGATCGATAATGGTTTGTATGCCTCATGTGTACATTCCACAAACTATTGCTGCGCCTACTGCTCAGTTTATTGTGAGGCTAAAAACACCACTGTAAGCTCTATGAAAGAAAGACATACTACAAACAATAAACTCAGTGCTTTGATTAAGAGCCATGAAAGAATCCACACTTCGAATCTCAGCTGAGCTGCTCCCACACCATTAAGCAAGCTAGTATCTGTCAAGACTCTTCCCACATTGCCTGTAATACACAGACAGTGATAAGCAGTCCTACCTTACAAGGTTGTCGAAAGGAATAATAGAATAATAGACTTGTAGAGCTGGAAGGGACCAAAAGGGTCTCCTAGTCCAACCCCCTTCAATGCAGGAATCCTTTGCCCAACATGGGGCTCGAACCCACAACCCTTAGATTAAGAGTCTCATGCTCTACCCACTGAGCAGCAAAGGCAGGTAATAGATAAGCAGTCCATGGCCTTCCAGCAGTCCATTACTGAGATTATTTATTCACTCACTGAATCATCGATTCAACTTATATACCGTATTGTTCTTTATAAAAAAATACTAGAGTGGTTTACAAAATAAAACTTTTTAAAAAAACAACAACAGCTCGACAGATAATGCATATATATGAATGTATGCATTCTCTATGCGTATTGTATATTCTTTAGGGAGAGTGCTATTGTTAAGCATAACAAATGGTTTATCTTGTCCTAATTTCACTCCATTAATAAAATCTCCCATCACTCCTCTCAGCAATTTCATCCAAGTCCAGCATCGCTTTCGGGTTCTTAGCCATGCACGTTATAAGAGGAGCATCATTCTGTGTGTGCTGCAATCCCAGAGAGTGAACTGCGCCACCTCCATCGAAGCTGCCCTGTGAACAAAGCCTCCTGAGAGCTGGGTTGCAGCACCTCCTGCAGGAGACAGCGTGCCACTGACATCAATTAGCCACAGCATTTTTCTGGGGACCAACTCTCTGATGTGGGAGATGTGTGCAGGCCTATCAGGGTACAGAGAATTTTACATCAAGCAAACAAAGCACCTAATTTTCAGATACAGAGAAAGGTGACACTTTAATGCAGTGGCAAGTGCCAAAGGACAGGCATCTTGTTCCTAAGCAGAAGGATATTTGGGCAGCCAGCAGGTACACCATTTCGTCACCTCCTGTGGTGTTCTTACATGACAAAATGTAGCATTAAAACTCCTGCCTCTAGACCAGAGGTTTTCAGCCTTTTTGAGTCCACGGCTCCTTTAACCAACTACATTATTTCTGTGGCACCCCTGGGGGCTCAGGAGCCCAGTTATGTCCCCCCTTGCCTGCAGAGCTGGCAGCCTCTCACCCTTTTTCGAACACCCTCCCTTGCAGAGAGGACCCCACAGCCTCCTCTCCTCTCCCATCTCCTTGGGAGTCCCAGAGGCACCATTCCCTTGCGGAGCTTGTAGCCAGGGCTGCTGCAACAAACAGCTGTGCAAGACTTTGAGAGGCAGAGATGCAAGAGGGCATCAGAGGAGGGAGGGAGGGAAGGAAAGAGGGACAGAGGCCAGTGTTGCCAGTGGCACCCCTGAAAAATTATTCAAGGCATCCCAGGGTGCCACGACACACTGGTTGAAAACCACTGCTCTAGACCAGGGGTCAGCAACCTTTTTCAGCTGTGGGCCAGTCCACCGACCCTCAGACCATTTGGTGGGCCGGACTATATTTTTTGGGGGGGGGGGGAATGAATAAATTCCTGTGCCCTACAAATAACCCAGAGATGCATTTTAAATAAAAGGACACATTCTACTCATGTAAAAACACCAGGCAGGCCCCACAAATAACCCAAAGATGCATTTTGAATAAAAGCACACATTCTACTCATGTAGAAACACACTGATTCCCGGAGCGTCCGTGGGCCGGATTGAAAAGGCGACTGGGCCACATCCGGCCCACGGGCCTTAGGTTGCCTACCCCTGCTCTAGACCATTACTAAAATATACAGCAGGAGCCTCATCCTCTATGCTACTCAAAGTGCAGCCCCATAGAGAAGTCAATGCCACTGGGTAAAGTGGGGCTCCCACCCATTCCCACATGCAATATTTCACTTGCTGCTGGACTTTTCAAGTGATTGGCAGGCCTGCCTGAACCAGCTTCAACACTGCAAAGCCACAAGTCTCCCAGCTTTTCAGACCTGGCTGGGGCCCACCACCAGTAGCCAAAAAAAAAGAGGAGGCAAGCAACTTGGTGGGGGAGGCTGCACAAGTCTTGCTTTCTTTGCCTTACCCACTTAGCCGCCCCCCCCCCCCCGCCAAACCTTAAACTCTTTAAGTTAGCAATCTGGCACTTTAGTGGGGCTTGAGTTCCCTGTGTCAAGGGGTGGATTCCAGAAGGTTTGGGGAGAGCAAGGAGTGACCCCAGCAGAAAAGTGTGTTTACATAGGTGTGTGATTGTTTTCAATGGGGTGATGGTGGGAATATGGCTTTTCCCTTTGCTCGTTTGGTGGTATCTTAGGTCAGGGCACAAACCATCAATAGAAAGCTAATGGCCTTGGGTGCTTGGCAGGTGGTCTCACCAGCACTGAGTGTTCAGGGCTTGGAGGAGCAGGCGCAGTGCCTGGGCTGGGTGGAAGTGGTATGAGTTTGATAAACTTCCAAAACTCCCCTTTTTATGAAGCAAATGTAGACAGAGATTTCTCTCTCCACCCTCGTCTTCTCCCCACCCCCTGCTCCCCATATGAGCCCTGTCTGCCGGCTCCCCTTGGGCAGCTTTGATTCAGGCTGGGTTTGAAGATCAAGTGAAGCAAAAGGTAAATTCGGGCCCTTTGATCTGCAAACACAGGCGTCTTCATTTCCATGTTTGATTTTTCATCACTTTCCGAACTGAAAAGGTGCCAGTATCATCAGCGCTCACCCTGCAGGGGGAACAGGCTGTGGAAAGCCGCAGGGAGCCGAGGGGGGACATGGGGGCAAAGCATGCCATAGGGGACCCTAACACACTGCGCCGCAGAGTGCGCAACTTCACAACACACAGCCACATAATTTGTAGGAATGAAACTCCCTACCACCTAAAAAAGTAAAATACTCTGCATGCATATGTAGTATTCACATACATTCTCTCTCTCTCTCTCTCTCTCTCTCACACACACACACACACACACACACACACACAATGGAGGACTATGCAGCACATATCTGAATGGTACCAAACATAACAACACACAGCTCAGGTGCACAAGCTGTACATTTCAAAAGGTTGCAATGTGCAGTTTATTAGCTCCTAGTAAGTCCATAAAGGGGCTACTCCGAATGTTGCACTTTGTAGCTTGCAACCATCTGGACACAAAACTAACCAACACAAACCTACACAATGCACCAGTACAACACAACGCACAGCTTGTGCAGGGTATGCACAGTGCAAAGAAAGAAGCCTGAACAGCATGCAGCTATACAACTCACCAGCAGAGTCACAAGTGCCACAGGGCTGTGATGAAAGCAGGGCTGAACTTTGAGTTCTCACTCACACTCTCACTTGATCACCTCTAGTCTCCTACAAGGGCCACAGGTTACATACAGGAGCACTGAAAATAAGTAAGTGAAGTGTAAATATATCTCTATGCTTGGGTATTTCACTGTCATTGGCCTCTCATTGTAAGCCACAAGGAGAGACCCTAAGACACAAACCAGGTAATTACCATGTTTGCAAGACGTCTTTGTCCCTTTTTTTTACTTCTACAGCACACGGACTCTCACATAGGCTAAGAAAATAAAGCAACATGATTGCAAACTTTGCTGAAACTAAACTTTTCTTGGTGGCAATGTGTTCACTAAAGCTAGGGCACAAACCCTGGGTTACCTTTGTAGAAGAATAACAAGCAGTATTGTGGAATCTTAAAGTCTAACGTATTCATTACTGCATTAGCTTTTGTGGATTACAGTCCACTTTATCTGACGCATGAAGCATTACCCTGATACAGGCACATGGTTAGGGTCGGGGGGGGGGGGAGCTGGGGAAATGAAATGCGGAAAAGTATAGACAGTAATAAGTACCCAGTTAACAGTGGTATCATAAAACAGTTGCTGAGAACACAGATCTCTTGGCATTGGTAAGGCAGCTAACAAATATCATTTGTCTGGGTTCAATTCACAAGTGATAGCATTGAGCCTCTTAATTCATCTGTTGTGTTTTTTTTATATTCTGTTGGAAGCCACCCACAGTGGCTGGGGCAACCCAGTCCGATGGGTGGGGTACAAAAAATATTAACAACAACAACAATAACAACAAATTATTGGTTTTTAAACAAACAAATGCAATAACCACTAAACACTTGATCCAGCAGTACATCTAATGGTGTTTGTTTTATGCATTGTTTCTAGACATACACATTCAACATTCAAACATATTACTTTATGTATAAGAATGTCTTGATTTTTGTCATTAATGTACTTAACATCCATGATTCTTGTAAGGTTTCTCTATTCGTTTTGCCTTTAAGTGTGCCTGGTGAGATGCTCAGACCTTGCTACATCCCAGATATTACTTTCCCATAAGTTCAGGGATAATTTTTGGGGGGAGGTCTATAAACAAGTATGGTAAGAAGAGTTGCAGTTTTGCAGTTAAGATTCAGTTTTACCCAAACAGATGGGAAACTGGGCTTTTGCCATCCTTCAGTTGCCCTCAGGCCAGGGTGGTGCATGTATGCCATCAATGACCTCTAGCAATGTAAGAGACAAGCCAAAGACCAGCGCAACTAGAAAGGCATGAGTCAAACTTTTTGTAGTAGTCTGGGCAAGGGGCTGGTATACCACTGAGACAGATCCCCTCCTTCCCAAGCTTCAGGCACACGACAAATGCTGTCTTTATTCCAGCAGGCTTTTGTTGTTATATATTTATTTATACTCCACCTTTTTCCTTAACAGGGACTCAAGGCAGCTCACAGAGAAAAATAAGAAAAGCCAAAAACACAGAAGAAGAACAACCATTAAAAACAATTAAACATGTATGATGATGATGATTACAACAACTACGTAGAATTAAAGCTACATATATACCTATATAAATCTATTAAAACCATACAAATAATTCCAATAAAAACAGCACAGCACTAGCCCTTTCTTCAGAAACAGTCAGTTCCCCCAAAGCCTGTAGGAACCAGAAAGTCTTCTCCTACCAGTTTCATTAACCTGTGACACAGAAGGACAACAAGGAGGGAGCCACTCTAACTTCTCTACAGAGGGAGTTCCAAGTCTGGGAGCAGCCACCAAGAAGGCCTTGAGGTTTTTCAGTTTGTAAAAAAAGATGTCTAAACAGGAGTATGCAGCAAATTATGAATATGAATACACCTGAAGATACTCAAATGAGTACAGATTCCTTCTGACAAATCCACTTAAGGTTTATGCTGCACATCTCAAAATTGATCCAATTCTCTACTATGGCGCCACAGCTGTCCAGATCCATTTCTTCATTAGCAATGA